AGTCCCAGCTGATCAGGAAGGAATGGGGACTTTGCAATAACATTACCCTGCCACGCCCACCAAGCTATGCCACACCCACCAAGCCACACCCACAGAACCAGTAGTAAAAAAAAATGAATCCCACGACTGTGTTGATGCCAAGGCCATTGGAGTCTATGGGCAGTGGGAAGATCGCTGGACCTCAAACCAAGGGTGACCCTTGCTGTAGGGAGAAGAAAAAGGAAGACTCTAAGTGCCAAGGTCATTGCTGGCCTGGATGTTGTGGTTTAACATGTACGAAGGGGAAACATCCTTTTAAAAACTGTATTTTAATCATGGTATTATTCCCTTGCCAACATTTGTCTTTTAATAGGAATAATAATGGTCTCCTTCTGATTTTTGCTCTGGTTTTATTCTGATTTTATACTTTACTTTATTCTGATTTTAAGACTGGCTTTGGGATTCTTGGGGATAAAAAAATAGAAATACTTACTCTAAATAAAGAGATTTAATTCTATTTACGGCCTGGATTAGGAATCAACCTAAATAAACAGTGTTTATTTAAAACATTTATATAGCCATTCATCTTATATTGAAGGACATAAGAATACAGAATCATTACAAGTATTAATATGTTGCCTAATTTGGAAAAGTGCCAAGTCTGATGCTCCCCCCAACCTATTCATAAAAACTATTCTCTGGCTCTTTTCTCTGTCCAGGCAGGTAATGGAGCCTAAGAATTCTGCTCTTCAAATGGATTCATGCAAATCCCACTGGCAAATCCACCATCCCCCTTTTTATACTTTGGGGCAAAGTCCTCTCTGTACCTGCTTTCACAGAAACATGGATGTGCGCCTTGGATTCATAGTACACCCAGTCGAAGCCAGCCTCCACAGCTAAGCGGGCCAATATGCCGTATTTCTCCCTGTCACGGTCAGAGGTGGTGATGTCCAGCGCCCGGCCCTCATAGTGTAGAGACTCAGGCAGGTGGTGTCCGTCTTCATCCCAGCCCTCCGTCACTCGCAGTCTTACGCCCGGCCACATATTCATGACGGCGATGGCCAAGGCATTCACTCGGTCTTTGCAACGCTACAGGAAGCAAAGAGGTAGATGGCATTAAGATCCAAGCTGCATTGAAACAGGAGGGTTGGGAGATGGAGGAGGAGAAGGACCATCCCAAGGCGCCAGCAATTGAACCAGCTCCGGTCCAAAGCCATTTTCAAGCTCTTGGGTTCAACTTTGTCACTAGTTCACTTTTCCCCTTTTTAATTCTTAGGGCCCCACAAAGCGACTGGAAAGTAGCACCTTGGTTGTGATTATTATCTATTTTTCCTAGAACTGTGATGGTGATCCTATGGCATGCGTGCCATAAGTGGCATGCAGAGCTACATCTGCCAGCACATGAGCCATCCACTCCAGTACAGATGAGCATGCCAGCCAGCTGGTTTTTGGCTTCCAGAGGGCCAGGAGAGGCCATTTTTGCCCACCCCAGGCTCCTTAGGAAGGCCTCAGGAGCCTGGGGAGAGCAAAAAATTGGCCCAACGGGCCTACCAGAAGCCAGAAATGGATCATTTCCGAACTTCTGGTAGGCCTGTTGGGCTCATTTTTCACCCTACCCAGGCTCCGGAGGCTTTCCTGGTGTCTGGAGAGGGCGAAAACGGCCTCCTCCAGCCCCCTGGAGGAAATACCAAGCTCAGCTTGGAGGCAAGTAGTGCAGCGTGTGGGGGGGGGGGGGGGGGGGGGGGG